ACTGAGGCATTCGACATCCTGACACCTAGCTTCAACACATCTCCGTAGCGCTAACCGACAGCCTTCCAACTTGGAAGGTTCAAGGTTATGAAAAGACCACAGAGGGGAAGGCAAGCGCACGTACGTCGTGTGAAACAACTTGTTTTGAAGTCAACTAGTCCATCACAATGTCGTGCATGAGGAGTACAGTAGGAGTTTGGCTTTTGGCTTGAACAATTCGTTTTCGCAAAGCTTCCCCTTTCTTTACTTATCTTTGATATTAAATATCATTGTTCATAAATTTTATGAACAATCCAAGTTGGGTGGTGTGCTGCTTTGCTGCTTCGAATTGTAGTTAGACCGCTTTGTCAAATATCGTACTGGTCTCGTCATCGTCCAGAGAGAGAGAGAGAGAGAGAGAGAGAGAGAGAGAGAGAGAGAGGTTTGAGTTTTTTTGAGCTCCGTAGGTTTTCGTCGTTTTTTTCGCAGCCCACCCGGCCTGGTGATGGTTTGGCCTGGAGAGCAGTATATAAGTGGTGCTTTTCAGGCACAATCTTCCTCAGCTTACTCAAGCTCAACTGATGAGGGGTGAATTCCCCGAAACACTGTGTATTGAGCAGGGAGTGGTGCTTTCTTTCAGGTTTGCCGAGCGGAAGGTGCGACGTGCTCCTGGTGTGCTCCGGGTGGCAGTCGTGAGTCAGTCAAGTGTCAAATTCGGCAAGAAGCGTGTGCTCCTCGTTGGAGCAACCAACTTCTTGTTTATTATTGTTATTATTATCATTCGTTCTCACTTTTTTGTTTTTGTTGCTGATACACACTTGTCACGCTTAGTTCTTACTTGTATACCCTTGTTTTCTGCACACTTTTGTGAGAAATCGCACCTCGATATTCCAGTGCTGTCATTGTATCGTGTCACCCTACCTTGATCGCTATATTATTTCCTTTGTTCTCATTTTGTTCTTTAGTACAACGGTGATTCCTGAAGAGTGTTGTACGAAAACTTGTTTGAATCATCTTTTTTTTCCATTGCACTTTTTCTTCTTACATGTATTTTTCCTTACCCTATAGGTTGTTTCTTGCATCGTCTCCATCGCTTACATTGTTAATAAAGTAGTCCACATGTCGCTTCAGCTCGTCCTACTTATTGTCATATTAAAATTATTGTCTCCTCGTCGAATTTTTAAATACTTCAGGTCTTTTCATCTTGTTTTTATTTTTCTAAACACCTACCGGTACTTTTACCCATTCTACTTCCCCATAGCTAGATCTAGCTTTGCTTTACATTTCTGTTTCTTTTTCCTGGTGCGTGCTTGTGGCATTGAAGCCGAGACCTTTGGTCGGTGGAGCCCCTGGTACCTCACCATCACTGCTGCCCTGTGCAGCCCCTGCTCAGTAGCTGTTTGTTTTTGTCCACATAATTATTTATTTTACGAGTTGGGTTTGTGAATAATAGTAAAAAAATAAAATAAATAAAATAAAAATAAAAATAAGCCGCTGGTCGTATCATACAGCCCATATTCCATTGCAGGTGATGGGCGAAAGTTCTTGTGGAGATCCGCTGAGCTTCCTCGTACTCGTGGCGTTATGAATTTGTGTCAGAAATTGCACTTAAATTGCAGTCGAGTGGACTTCTGTGCGTGTGTTGTGAGTGAATCGCAACGGCTCCCTTCCTTCAGCATCGTCAAAACGCAACATAGAGCATTATTACGCACTCGTTCCACCATGATTCATGATATTGCCTGGATTCTTTTAAAAACAATCAATGTGTGTTCCCTATCTATCTACATTGTACATGGTTGCAGGTCGTTATTTATAAATCTTGATAATTTCAACACTTTTCTACTCGTATACTGAGTACGCGGTGACTTTAGCCGTTTAGGAAACGGAAGGCTCAGCCTCCAGGTTGGCCAGAAAGGTTCTCAGTGAATCTAACCGAAGTCTTGGCGAGTGTACAAAAGGTAAACCTATCATATGTACTTCATAACGGAATTGTGCACAAAAATGCGCACACACGCACGCACGCGCGCACACACACACACACACGCACACAAACACTGTACAAACACACACAAAAGTACAAGCACATGTGCACATACACACGCCTCCCCCCCCCCCCCCACACACACACTCAACTCCCCACCCCCTGTACCTTGTGTACTGAGTCTGACAGACAGACACACAATCATGTTTATGCTTCCTTCGCCACCAGTTTCGGATAATGGTGTCAACAACGAGTTGTAAAATATTAGTATTTTAGGACTCCCTGCCCTGAAGGCGAGCACAGCGCCGTGGATCGAGCAGATCCGGCCACGCCGGCCTAGCGTGCTTCACTTTCTGGCCGAGGCAAACATCGTCCGCGTGCGCGCATTCCTTGTCCTCTCCTGGGCTTTTACGACTCCCTGCGCCATGCCAGTGCCATTCTCCTGTACCCTCATGTTACTCTCTACTCCAGCAGTGTACTAGCTAACTCATCTCGTGTTGAAATCCAACATCAATTATAAGACGGGTTGAGTTTACATGAACCATTCTGTGACGTCCTGTATGAGGCTGTGACTCTGTGTGAGCTGAGTGAGCAGAGCCAGAGTGACTTGGACAACCGTACACCATGGTACACGGACTACAGTACATGACTTTTGCATGTACTTTCAGACCACTGAAATGGTAGACTCATGATGAGTGGATTCTGTCCACTGCCACCATGGCCACTGCCCGTCGTCACTTCGTCGTCACTTGACGACGGGCAGTGGAACTAGTTCCATCACCATTCAGCAATCAGCAGGCAGGTTCGCGCTTTCCAGCCCGCGTAATTTTATCTGTCACTAGCAGCACCCCAGGCCAGCGTTGCCTGGCCGAATGTGGCATGCGGGCGCGGGTGAAGCAAGTACATGAACAGCACACTTGCTCAGCACGTGGTGGTGGCCAGACCGCTGAAGTCCTGGTGAGGAAGGTTCTTCATCATTGGAAGGAGAAGGAGGGACGTCTGTCTGGTCAGGGTTGTCCATCACCTAGTGGCGGATGAAGCGGCTCAAAAATTCATAAACTTACGAACAAAAGTGCGATGCGCTCTTCACTGCAGATCAGATGCAGAGTGCAGTCAGTGCAGATCTTTTGAATCCTTTTGTTGCAGATGTTTCTATTTGCAGAGAACGGTTCACGTGGTCCGCAGCGCTTGTGCGGCTGCTAGTGCTACCTATGGCCTAGGCTATATGCGCTAGGTGGCTACATGATTCGCACGCTTCGCGTGCTCAGTGCTTCTGCGCCCGGCTGCTACCGCTACTCGTAGATCTACTGATCGTGTCTGATCTGCTACCACCTACACTGTTCGCACGCTTGGCGTGCTCAGCACGTGGTGGTGGCTACACGATTCGCACGCTTCGCGCGATCGCGTGCTCAGTGCTTCTGCGGCGCGGCCGCTAGCTACACTGCGCTACACGATTCGCACGCTTCGCGTGCTCAGTGCTTCTGCGGCCGCTAGCTACACTGCGCTACACTGTTCGCACGCTTCGCGTGCTCAGGGCAGCGCTGCTCCGCAGCGCTTCAGCGTCACACAAAAACACACGTCACAGGTGCCTCTTCTCTATAAGTATAAGGAGCGTGACACACAGACACACGTCACAGGTGCCTCTTCTCTATAAGGAGCGTGACACACAGACACACGTCACAGGTGCCTCTTCTTTATAAGTAAAGATTGGTCGACTCCAAGGCGACAGGCCGGAGTGGAGCCCTTAGGAGACGTAGTGTAGAATCGTAGCTTAGTGTAGAGTAGGTGATATTTTGAGTAGCTGGCAGGTGAACCCCTGAGACTTCTGTGCAGTCTCCCAGGCATCGAAGCCAATGTCATCAGCTTGATCCAGCAATTGTCGTCGTATGTTAGTCAGTCTAGAGATAGAGAGGAGCGCGTGAAACGGCGTGTGGATGAGCTATGTGCACACGTTTCGGAGTTACGAGGCGAACTGAGCTCCTTGAGGCAGTCCGCCATTGCCCCCATGCAGGGGCGTACATAGGGCGGTTCCCGGGATGCCCGGGAACCAGTAAAAAAACTTCGATATGGGTACGGAGAGGTTTTTGATCCAGGCCCAGCGCTCGCAGTACAGACAGTCAGTAGTGCAAGTGCATGCAGTGCATGACTGGATCCATGGAGTCCGCCTGACGGTCCGAGGACGGTGACTGTAGCCCAGGTGTGAAAGTGATAACAGCCTGGGTTCAACAAAATCTCTAGGTACATCGCCGGATTCCTCGATCTCAGAGTCAAATTTTCCTTTGCAGTTTGTTTTGACAAAGTTGGTCGTGTTTTGGACGATGCTTTCGCTTTATGGAAAAGAAAAATGAAGCGTCGACATCCAGAGGGCCAGAGCTCTATTCAGAGCTATTTTAAGCAGCAGGCAAAGCATGTAGCCAGTGCTAGTGGCGAAGGTCAAGCTATAGATGAGAATGCAGACGCACCTGACTTGCAAGCGAAGTCTGCATGCAACGAGCAGCGCTGCGGAAGAAATTGTCGGCGAAGCTGTAGAGCGACCGTTGTTGGAAGCTGCTAGATCATCCAAAACCTACTTCAGTGACATGGGAGTGTGTTGGAACGGATATTCTGAACGTCGACGTCCACAGTGGAATCCAGTTGCCAGAAAATTGCCGGACACAGAAAAGATTTCCGTCATCGATAATCATTGTGCGCCACCGAAGGCGAAGGATTTCATTTCCTGTGCGTGTCCAGACGAATGGCAAACAGCGTCACTTTCAACTATCTTTGTTATTAGAGGAGTTACCCTGGGTAGTCTTTTGACCAGCGTGCAATGGTGGCTTCTGCTTGCCCTGTGTGATGTTTGCTACAGATGATTCGAAACTTAGGCAGCTTTCAAAACTGCATGCAATCGTCATGCTGAACAAAACATCCATAAAACGTAAAATCTAAAATGCGTAGCAATGACATCTTCCAGCAGCTTGTGGATGTTAATTTCACCCAGTCTGAGGAGAGTATGCAGAAACTCCGTGGGATACGAAAAACAGCACTTCAATTGTGAAGAATGTTGGTCCATCAGTTGGCATGGGAACCACTCCTGGAGGCGAGCGGCGTACGCCCCTGCATGCATGTCGACCAACAGCAACAAAAAGGCGAGGAGGTCAAGGAGAGTGCAGCTAGTAGTACGAATAGTACCCGTACGCTAACTGGAAAGTCTAAGCCGCGCGCAAATAGTGAAAAAAAGTCAAAGCAGCAGGCAGAACACGTGGGAACGCACACTGAACCCCGTACCCGTAGCGCTGCCACACCCTGGCACGCAGGCAAGACGGTGCCCTCAGTGGACACGGAAACGGAGTACAAGGATAAAGCAAACCCGGTATGTACTACAAACCACAGTCCAAAGGTCGCAGACACACAGACAAACACTGTGGGTTCGCAGCACGTTCCACCACTACCTGTGGATGATGACTCATGGCAACTAGTCTCTTCTGTCTCCCCTCGCCTTAGCGTCAGGCGTGGGGTCATTTGGATTGGAAACCTGCGCCCAGCTATTAGCATTGAGCAACTGGAATCCTTTATCCAACAACGTGCCCTGACAGCCAATCAGCAGCTCACGATATTTAGTAGCAAACTGATCAGCAAGGCTGATGGCAAGGTCGGTGCTCGTGTGATGATCAGCTGAGCCTCAGTTGAAGCCCTCACACAGCCAAACTTCTGGCCCAGGCCTGTTTATGCACGCCCATGGGTCTTTCGTGATGACCAGAGAAACGCAGCAGACAAGCAACAACAGGAGCAACAGCAGAAGACACAGGAAAATCAGCACCAGGAATCTACACCAAGTCTTGAACAGAGAAACACAGCAGACCAGCAGCAACAGCAGAAGAAACGGCAGGAGGAGCACCAGAAGACACAGGAAAATCAGCATCAGGAATCTACACCTGAAGAGCACCAGCATTTGCAGACAGAACAGCAGAACCTGCATACTGCATCTAGTGACAGCCAATGCCCTGCGTCCAGTGACAGCCAATGCCCTGCGTCTAATGACAGCCAATGCCCTGCGTCCAGTGACAGCCAATGCCCTGCGTCTAATGACAGCCAAAGCCCTGCATCTAGTGATGTCCACCAGGACAGTGGCCAGCACCAGCCCAAGCTTCAAGATACGTCAACTACGTCTGCTCCAGCCAAAGCCACGCCACCTCGCCCTGGAAAGCGTCATGCAGAAGATTCCCCTGGATCCATGTCGGGAATACCATGCAAAATGCAACCTCCATCTAGCTCTCAATGAGTAAGCTAAATCCAGTTGCGCGGGAGTTCTACCCTCAGGCTGCTACCGTATCTATTAACAGACTGCCACAATCTCATTCAACACATACCACCATTGGATTCCTTAACATCTGCAGCCTGCGCTACAAGATAGACACGCTGTCTGCTCTGATTAGGGAAAGGACATGGGATGTTGTTGGGATTGCGGAGACATGGCTGGACGCGTCTATAGCTGATGGAGAAGTGAACATTGAAGGATACAGTTTGGTGAGAAATGACCGAAAGGGGAGAAAAGGAGGTGGCGTCTGTATTTTTTACCGGTCCTACTTGCCCATCAAACCACGGCCGGATCTCAACCAAGGGGACACGGAGGTAGTGTGGGTTGAGCTAAATGGAAAGGCAGGCAATCACTTAATTGGCTGCATATACCGACCACCAGATGCGCCAGTCTCCTACTGGTCCACCCTTGAGGCATCGCTGCATCAAGCTGCTATGGTTACCTCAGCCGTCACATTGATGGGTGACTTCAATGTCAATATCTCGCATTCCCAGCCACAGCATGCCCAGCCCCTTCTGGATCTCTGTGGTGCATATGGCCTCACTAATATCGTCCACTCCGTTACGCGAGTCTCACCTCGGTGTCCAGCTGGCACTACTATTGACCTGATACTGACTACAGAGGATAAGGATTTGCATGATTGCCGAGTCCTGCCGCTTACACTCAGTGACCACTTTGGAGTTGAAGCAACCTTCAATGCAAGACATGCCCGGCCAGACATCCCCAAGCAGCGTGTGCGTCGCCGTTTAGATAACATTGACTTGGTTGCCTTCCGACTTGACCTAGCTGCTGCTGAACTTCATGTGTACCCACCAGACTCTGATGTGCAAGCCATGTGGGACCACTGGCATCAACGATTCCTTTCTGTCCTCGACAGGCATGCGCCATTGCAGCAATGCAAGATTAAGACAGGCAAGCTCCATCCTCCATGGTCTGACAGAGAGCTATACAAGATAAACCAGCTGAAGCGTCGCCTGCATCGAAAGTGGCTTGCTGACAAAGCCAACTCTGAAGCTCACGCAGCATATAGACGTGCCCGCTCGGTTGCTGCGAATACAAACAGGTGCAAACGCAACCAGTACTTCCAAAGTCAGTGCCAAGATAATTGCCAGAACCCACGCAAGTTATGGTCAGTCCTAAATACTGTGACTGGACGCAAGAGACAATCAATCCAGCCGACATGCGACATCGAACATGTTGCGTCCACGTTTGGCAAGGTAGTCTCTGATGATGCTCGGCCTTCAGTTCTCTCTATGCCTCAGGGACCACAGCCTCGGTCTGCCCTGACCTCATTCCAACATGTGCGTGCCTGCGATGCTGAACAGCTTTTGAAGCGCATCGACCCGCGCAAAGCAACTGGGAGCGACGGCATCCCAGGCTTACTTCTAAAGTACTGTGCCGACCTGCTAGCACCATCAGTTGCAGCACTTTTCAATGCGTCCCTGACCTCCGGCACTGTACCCGCTGGCTTTAAGCGTGCGTATGTGACCCCATTGCACAAGGCTGGCGATCCATCTGTCGCCAACAATTTCCGTCCTGTGTCCCTGCTCCCAATTCTCTCGAAGCTGCTAGAGAAGGTGGTGCAGAAGGCACTTGTCACCTTTCTGGATATGGCTGGTTCTCTGCCCAGCACACAGTTTGCATTCCGGACAGGACATTCCACGGAGGATGCCCTTGTGCTGATGGTAAACAGGATCCTCGCCTCAAGAGACCGCCGCATGTTCACGGGTGTGGTCCTCCTGGATATGTCGAAGGCGTTCGACAAGGTTCGCCACCAGCAACTAGTCGAAGATCTCTTCTGTGTGGGCGTCACTGGAACAGCGCTCCAGTGGCTCATGTCATACTTGTCTGATCGCTGCCAGATTGTCCAGCTGGGATCCCAGCTTAGCACAGTGGCAGCCTGCTCCTGTGGAGTACCACAGGGGTCGGTATTAGGTCCACTGCTGTTCAGCCTTTACACCCGGGACATACCATCTGTTGCCCAGCAAGCTGAGTCCATCCAGTTCGCAGATGACATCGCACTGACCTGCAGTCGCCCAACACAACAGGAACTGACCGCCACTCTCTCCAGAGCAGTGACATGCATTGCTGACTGGCTGAAGCAGCGAGGTTTGATCCTTAATACATCAAAAAGTCAGGCATTGGTAGTACCGGCTGCGAAGCTAGAAGCGCAACCTGAACTGGACGTATGGTGTCATGCGACTAAGCTGCCATCTGTCTCTTCTGCTCGCTACCTCGGAGTTCACATTGACAGCGCCATGTCTTGGAACACCCAGATGGATAGGTGCGTTGCCCGCCTCACCAAGAAAGTCGGTGTGCTGTGGCGGATGCGCCGCTGCCTCAGCATGCAAAGCCGCATCCAGTACTTCAAGTCGGTGATCATGCCTGATTTCTCATATGGCTCCAATGCCTTCTCAGCATCGCTGGCGGGTAAGCACCTGGACCGTCTCCAAGTTCTGCAGAATCGTGCGGCTCGAGCTGTGTACGGATGCTCGCCGCGCACCTCTGCCAGAAACCTGCTAGTCCAACTCGGCGCCTACCGTGTCCGGGAGATCTTCATCCAGAAGCTCATCTTCCTGGTTTGGCGCTGCCGCTACTCCCGTGCTAGCCCCACACTGCAAGTGCTGTTGCTACCAACCAGTGGCGCTCCTACTCGGCTGCAATTATCTATGGGTCTAAGACCACCGCCAACCCGCACTGAGCTGGGTAAGGGTTGTCTCGCGTTCCAAGGAGCTAGGCTCTGGAATGCGTTGCCCAGCGAGGTGCGGGCCATACCGCACCCGGCCCAATTTCGCACTGCTGCTGTTCCACACAGCATGAACCCTTGAGGTCAGACAGATCACTATCGCCATATTTTCATTATATGCCTGCCTGTTGGCCTGCCTGCCCGTCTCTCTCCCTGTTCTCTGACAACTTGCTTGTTAATTCGTGCGGTTGTTTTCAGACGTAAAGCCCTGCTGTAGAGGTCTCAGCCCTCATTTGTTAGTCTCTCTCTCTCTCTCTCTCTCTCTCTCTCTCTCTCTCTCTCTCTCTGTTTTTGGTGGACAAAAATATCTCTGGCGTTGATTGCTTTCTTGCTTCGACTTCTGCCGCGCCTTTGTTCTCGTACTCCCCTTTATGTACAAGTGTTGTGCAGACCCTCCCTTAATATAGTCTGTCTCATTTTGTCCTGAGATGTTTTGATGCATAGTGATTATGACGCTCATCATTCGCTCCCTTGTCACTGGACAGTTCTGTCCGTTTGGTTTTAGCGAATTCAAATAAAGAAAACAACAACAACAACAGTAACAATCGATATTCTTTGTTCCGTTGGGACTGTAGCTTTTTGCTCGTTTTTCGTTGCGCTTGCCTTCCACTCTTTGGTCTTTAATAACCTTGAACCTTCCAAGTTGGAAGGCTGTCGGTTAGCGCTACGGAGATGTGTTGAAGCTAGGTGTCAGGACGTCGAATGTCTCAGTACTCTGTCAGTTTTGTGCCTAGTTATTGCACTTTCTGACTGTATTTAGTACTGTATCTAGTTACAGTGCATGAAAGAGTTACTCTTAAGGGGGCACATCACCCAAAAATTTCATATGGCATTCAATTGACCGTAACTTTGGTGTTTCTCAGTGGATTTGAGTGAAATTTTGACCACACACTCCTGCCACTATGCTGGCCCTCAGGACATGATTTACAAGTTCTTGCGTCTCACTGACAGGCTTTCCAGGCCGGAAAAACTCAAATTTCCGGCATAGTGCTACGGTGTGCGAGCCACCCAGGAGCCAAACAAATGCATTTACATTTTTTCACATTTTCGTGCCCTTTCTGTCCGTGCGCGGGACCCAAACCTAAAACAAGTCCAGAAGCAGCCATGGGTGGTGGGGTAGGGCCCCTCAACGTGGCCCTGGAATCTGTCACAACGGAACGAGTGGGCGTTCTTTCACGGACTCCCACAGACCCAAGGCAATTTTTGAATTTTTTTAGGTTTGGCACGTGCTACGAGGTCGTACCTTTGATACAACATCCAGTGCTGGGACCTCCACAGCAAGCCATTTCCACAGCGCTGCAAACCAAATCCAGGATGCCCTCAGAAACCGGCAAAGACTGCCACTCACGTTTCACTACTGCCTAGTACTGAATCCTACCTGACTTCTTGACACGACTCAAACTTGCCAAAGTCACTAAATCAACGTCAACTACAATAATCAAGCCACATATCTGCAACGTCACGAGGGTGCTGGCAAAAGTCCTGCTGCACGGCGGCGGGCTTCGCCCGCCGCCGTGCAGCCCAATACGTGGTTTTTTAACGTGATTTTTTGGACTTTTTTGGACTTGGGGCAAAATTCTGCACACTTTCGCGTGTTTCCATAATACGACAAGTTGCGCACGGTCTGCTCACATTCAAATACAGTGCTGCCAACAAATGACAGCATGCAACAAAAAAATCTTTCCTTGCAAGGGGCACATTTTCGGCCATAACTCTTGAACGGCTGGTCAGATAGGGACACAGTTTTCAGAGAATTTGCAGCTATTCATGCTCTTTCAACTGATGTAGCACTCAATATGAATTTACAAATTCGATTTTTCAGCGAATTTTTGGGTGATGTGCCCCCTTAACTCGTATCCATAATTATGTCCTTTTCTTTTCTACATTAATTTTATTTATGGCTCAACATCCGAGTTGTAAATCATTTCTCCAGATTTGTGTAACTAGCTGGCTCGCGGTTGGGCATGCTTCATACATGGCTTGTCAGTAAGTTGTATGCCTTTACCTGAATACATAGCTACATACCGACGTCCTTTGATGATTGTGGCAATGTGGCCAGGTCAATGTACAGTCATGTACATGTATGTAGCACTTAGTGGCAAAGGTGTTAGTATGATTGTGCTCTTACTGACTAGTTTAGTCTTACGTGTCTACACAATCACACAGTCACGTGCCGGTACAATGACTATGTACATGTACAAGGTTGCACGTCATCATGATCACTGTAGTCTGTCGGCTAAGTGTAGCCGATTGTTGCCAAAAACCTGGCATTTCCTGAACTCATTATGCCGCTCAAACCTCACATAATGCTCCTTTTGTTCCTTTCTAATGCTCCGTAATGCTCTGATGTTCGGATAGTCTTATAATGCCCAATATAATGCCGGCAGTATCCGCTGGACCCTAGACTGTATGCTCAGATACACAAAGAGCAGACATGAATGATCCACACAATCATACGGAACGAAGTTTTTAGCAAACGCGAGCTCTAGCAAGTCACGCCGAGCAAACATCGAGCGAGCGACGCATGACGCCCACGTTGAGCACCACATATTAATGCCATGGTGAATGCCACGTCGCACGTCGCCCACACGTTGAATGTCACGTTCAATGACACGTAAATTGTAACGTCACCATAGAGTGCCACGCGCGTAGGTCTACGCGTGCATGCAGCTTGAGAAGTACTGTAAAAGCCATAATTATATGTAACGAAGTGCTAATTCTAACGAGTTAACGAGGAGAAATCTGTCGTTAGAATAGAAATCGCTATACAGAGATCGATACATATGCTGTTCTATTGAGCGTTGAGAACGCGTGAGAATCGTTACCTTTGCTACACGTAAACTAGTCTTTTTTGGAAATCGTTTTTTATATGCGCCTCGTTAGAATAATGGCTTTTACAGTACCCTAAACTAAAGCCTAAGGGTGGGGTAGTACTTGACCTGTGAGTGGATCCATGAGAGAGGAAAGCAGCTACTAGACTAACTGAACCTCAGTGCATGTATTTCTACGCAGAAGCCTGGCGAAGGTTCACGAACCGTAGCGGGGGCGATCTTTATTATCTTTATTATAGTACTGTACTTCGAAGTATTGTCAAAGTCTGCGTGTAGTAGTACAATACTTCAGTAAATACTGCGCGTGGGCCTTGTTTGCTCACAGACATCTAGCATATGGCCAAAGTGCCTCTTGAGTGGTGTGGATCCAGGGGAGAGGAAAGCGGCTACTAACTGAACCGAAGTGCATGTATTTCTACGCAGACGCCTGGCGAAGGTTGACGAAGAGTAGCGAGGGCGATCGTTAATAGTATTGTCTTAGTCTAAGATAGCAGTACAGTATTTCACTTGGCGGCAGAAGGAGCGGAAGGAGAATCTGCCTCTAACAGGTTGTCCAGTTGGAGATTTTGAGTTTTCCAACATGGCGGCAGACAAGTATAATTATAATAACAATAATAATATTATACAATGTATTCGCGTGAAGAAGAGGCTGGACTTTCTTGGGCACTGAAAGAAGGACTATAGCAGAGCTGCCGTAAGTAAAGTATGTCCTGTTTGTTATCTCTTCCACTAGGAAGTTCTAAATTCTTTTCCAACTGGCGTAGCAGAGTCTGTACTATTATCAGAGTAAATACTTAGCGAGATGCACTGAAAACCTGCAACTAACCTTACTTATCACGTGGAAGTGCATAATAATAACTGAGGGCATGCGATCAGTCACTCTGCAGACGTCTTCAGAACGTTTGCGAAGCAATTGGAAACACGTTGTAGTGCGAGGGAAAGCTACTAGTGTTTGTCTGGAGGTGCCTTCACGGGAAAGCTAGTGCCATATTGTCTGTACTGTTCGTAAGATCTGAGTCATCAGAGGTCCAACGGTCTGCTCATTCAGCCATCCTCGGCCGTCCGTCGCAGGATATGCACTCTGGAACCTGCTGCTGGATGACGTTCGGACCATAGCAAGACAGAACAGGTTTAGCATAAGCTGCCTACAATTTGTTGCTCAGACTAGCCCTCCCCTAGCTCTCCTCGACCACCCTGTCACCCCTGATACTCGCTTGACTCGTCTGTCAGACACTTCTTCTTTCGTAATTTTCTAAGTCCTGTCCTCTCTTTTCTAATTGCGGCTCATCCATTCGCCTTTATATCATTAGGCCTAGTTCCCGTTTATTGTGCCAATTAAAATAAACCAACCAACCAACCATATTGGACAGTAGGTGGTGGACGTGTGGGAGTACACTTCCCATGCACAGCAGTACGTGCAGTTACATCCAGATATATCCAGTATTTGCAGTCCCAAAACGTGTCGTAGCTGGTTATATAATGGCTCGAAAGGTATCCTTCTCGTTATATGAACATTGTTTGCAATGAGAAATGTTAGCTCTGGCGGTCTCAGTCTTTGATTTCAGTGGAGGACTAATTTGTGTCTATTGAACAGCGTGCAGGCCATTTCCTTGAACACAGGTAGATTCATGAATTGTAAATTAGGGACGTGATAGCATAAGGAAAAACTGACGTTGCCGGTGCTTAGAGATTTCGAACATGGCAGGAATCCAGCTTCGGAAAAGAGTGTCTCCTTTGCTGGTAAGGTGTGGTCCTTTCACTTTCATGCCAACTTGAGTTTTGCCGGAATTTAAATATCTCCAGTAGGTGTGCATTGACTTTGCCAAGTCAAAAACCTGTCTTTTCTACCTTTCCCCACTAGGTTTATTGGTGAGAAGATAACTTTGCCGACCACTCCAATTACAATAGACAAGGTAGAGTTCACAGGATTCTGTCTCGGTGGATACTGATTTTGTCACCCTACTTTTTATCTTGTACCATGTGTGCTGTGTGCATGCAGGTGCAAGTATAAGTTCAACATCTGAGCCGGTTCTGCCCCCTACGACACTGACATGGCTTCTCACAGTCAGTTTGTCAGTGACTGTTGCTGGAACAAGTCGTTTTTCTGTTCTCTTTCCTCTGCTTTTATTTCCGGTTTGACCTTTTTCATCACACTTGCATACTTCACGATTGTTTTGTTCCCCAGCTTTTCACTCAAATCTGACATACACACACCCACATGTATGCGTGTGTCTGCCCATCTGTTGAATGTGATTTGTTTTGGGCAGCCCATCGTCTGAGTCATTCCTTTGCTGGCGAAGAACGCGGTGATGATGACGAAAATGATGATAATATGGTAAGTTGGAATGAGCTTCAAGCAGTTACCTCTGTATGATGAAAATAATGGAAGTAATTATGCAACCGATGATGTTACTTTTGCTCTCTTGCCACTTTGTATTGCCGTTGAGGCTGTACAATGGTAAGCTAGTGCACTGAGGTTGCTGGTGGGGTTTGGGGATGCTGTGTGGTGTTTGCAAGTACCTGGGAAGAGATCTTGCTGTGGTGTGTGTTGCGTTTCTAGTTCTTTGGAATGGCGGAATGTCTCCACAATCCAGTTGGAAGGACCAGGTACTGAGGGTTTGGAGGCACTCATAGTGTGTACTGGTACCATTATGGGTGTCCTTCCAGCTGCCCTTTAAAAGAATAATGCAGGGTTCAGCTGGTCCCGGGTAGTAAGTCATTCCACAAAAAAAGATTAAAGAAAGAGAAAAAAGAATGACCCTGTGCGGGCGGGAAGTCATTCTGCATTAAAAAAGAAGGAAAAAAAGAAGAAGAAAAGAAAGAAAAGAAGAATGACTCACCGGTGCTTGACGACAAAAAAAAGAATGTGGTGGGCTCCGTGCCTGCAGCATGCATGTCGTGTTTCACTGAGGCTCAGTCCCAGTGCCCGCTTTCTTTTTCATTTGGTCCCATGCACGCACGGTTGGGCCGAGTACATATGATACGCACATCATTGCTGTGCGTATCACTCATGATTTCATACTTTTCTATGGCCAGTTCCATGGCTGGAAACCTGGATCTGTTTGAGACTATCTGAGATGTCCAAACTCCGGAGGTCCGTGGTGTTGTATTTATCAACACTGCGGGGTTCGACGCTATTTCCGAACACATATTATTTCCTTTTTCTTTTGTTGTTGGCCTAGGATGATACGCTGCACTGGTTGGTGTCTATTGGACATCTGTGCATGCTGAGGCCATTTCCACTGTCTTGAAGTGTGCGTGCGTGCGTGCCCGCGTTTTTGGCAGTGTGTGTTTAGTGGTTCTTTTTTCTTTGTGTTTGCACTTTTGCTTGTTTATGGAAGGATATCGGAGAGCCGGAAGAAGCTGCACCAGGTACAGCTGGTTGGAGTCAAGTGGATCCGCGAGAAAAAAGAAGGACAATATTGAAGTCCAGCTTGAAGTAAGTAACTGAGTTTAGAAGACCACAGCTGTTTTCCACTGAGTTGTGTTGGCCTACAATCTTAGAACAGGACACTGTCAGGCACTGTTGATGACACACTTTCATGCCAACTTGAGTTTTGTCAGAGTTTAGATACCTCCAGCAGGTGTGCATTGACTTTGCCAAGTCAAAAACCTGTCTTTTCTACCTTTCCCCACTAGGTTTATTGGTGAGAAGATAACTTTGCCGACCACTCCAATTACAATAGACAAGGTAGAGTTCACAGGATTCTGTCTCGGTGGATACTGATTTTGTCACCCTACTTTTTTTCTTGTACCATGTGTGCTGTGTGCCTGCAGGTGCAATTATAAGTACAACATCTGAGCCGGTTTTGCCCCTGCGACACTGACGATGCTTCTCACAGAAAATTTGTCAGTGACTGCTGCTGGAACAAGTCATTTTTCTGTTCTCTCTTCTCTGCTTTTATTGCCGGTTTGAAAGTTTACATCGCACTTGTATACTTCACGATTGTTTTGTTCCCCAGCTTTTCACTCAAATCTGACATACACACACACACACACACACACACACACACACACACACATATGTATGCGTGTGTCTGCCCGTCTGTTGAATGTGACTTGTTTTGGGCAGCCTATCGTCCGAGGAATTCCGTTGCTGTCGAAGAACGCGATGATAATATGGTTAGTTGGAGTGAGCTTTCAAGCTGTTGCCTCTGTATGATGAAAATAATGTAAATAATTATGCAACCGCCCTTTTTACAGGCAAACAAAACAAAATGTGCCATTGTGGAGAAGCAGAGCACAATAGTGGCGAAACAATTCCATGAAAAGAAGAATGTTTTTAAAAGTATTTCAATGTTGATGATGAAAACTATTACATGTATAATGACTTTTAATGACTTTTATTGTGGTTGTGATACTGTTGTTGTCTTCGTGTTTTACCACAGCATGTTGATATTTTGGAGGCTGAGCCCATCATGACCAGTAGATACTCGGCCGTTGCTGGGGAAGAAAGCGATGATGAAGACGCGGATGATGATAATAATTATGGTAAGTTTGAATCGTGGCTTGGAAGCTGTTGCCTCTGTATGATGAAAATAATGCAAGCAACCGATGATGATAAATGATGAGAAATCTGTCGTTAGAATAGAAATCGTTATACAGAAATCTATACATACAATGTATGCTGTTCTATTGAGCGTTGAGAACGCGTGAGAATCGTTACCTTTGGTACACGACACGTAAACTAGTCTTTTTGGAAGTCGTTATTATATGCGCCTCGTTAGAATAATGGCTTTTACAGTACCCTAAACTAAAGCCTTAGGGTGGGGTAGTACTTGACCTGTGAGTGGATACATCGGAGAGAGGAAAGCAGCTACTAACTGAACCTCAGTGCATGTATTTCTACGCGGAAGCCTGGCGGAGGTTCACGAACAGTAGCGGGGGCGATCTTTATTATAGTACTTCGAAGTACGTACTTAAGTATAGGGCTTGAAAGTGCTACGTCACAGCATAGCAACAATTTCAAAAATTCAAAAATTGGATCCACTTGGATCCAGTTTTTGTATGGATCCAAGCACATTTCAAGCCGTCTTACTCACAGCAAGGTGATGTAACCAGTGAAACTGACTGATTTGGCTACTGGGGGCGGGGTTACAACTGGTGGCGAAGTAAAAGTCGTCCCTGCCTACGACATGAGTGGGTTGCTATGCACCCACATACTGAGGCAATAGCAAAGTCACACCTTAGTGGATCCAAAATAGAAATAATGATGTCAACTTAGTCACTCCCTGCGGGTTTTGACGTCATCACTTTCAAGGCCTATTGTCGAAGTCTACGTGTAGCAGTACAGTACATGTACTTCAGTAAGACTAGTCTACGTACTAAGCTAGGATGTGTAGAATACCACGTACTGTTACTGTTCGAAGTATTGTCGAAGTCCACGTGTAGTACATGTAGAGTGTAGTACAGCACTTCAGTAAGGCTAGTCTAGGTAGGATGTGTAGAATAACACGCACTGTTAGTACTGCACGTGGGCCTTGTTTGCTCACAGACATCTAGCATATGGCCAAAGGGACTGAGTCTTGAGAAGTAATTAGTTGAGTGGTGTGGATCCAGGGGAGAGGAAAGCGACTACTAACTGAACCGCAGTGCATGTATTTCTACGCGGTCCGCGGCCTGGCAAAGGTTGACGAAGAGTAGCGAGGGCGATCGTTATTATACAGTATTGTCTAAGTCTAAGTATGCAGTACAGTATTTCACTTGGCGGCAGAAGGAGCGGAAGGAGAATCTGGCTCTAACAGGTTGTCCAGTTGGAGATTTTGAGTTTTCCAAAATGGCGGCAGACAAGTATATAAATAATATACAATGTATTCGCGTGAAGAAGAGGCTGGACTTTCTTGGGCACTGAAAGAAGGACTATAGCAGAGCTGCCGTAAGTAAAGTATGTCCTGTTTGTTATCTCTTCCACTAGGAAGTTCTAAATTCTTTTCCAACTGGCTTTACAGAGTCTGTACTATTATCAGAGTAAATACTTAGCGAGATGCACTGAAAACCTGCAACTAACCTTACTTATCACATGCAAGTGCATAATAATAACTGAGGGCATGCGATCAGTCACTCTGCAGACGTCTTCAGAACGTTTGCCAAGCAATTGGAAATACGTTGTAGTGCGAGGGCAAGCTACTAGTGTTTGTCTGGAGGTGCCTTCACGGGAAAGCTAGTGCCATATTGTCTGTACTGTTCGTAAGATCTGAGTCATCAGAGGTCCAACGGTCTGCTCATTCAGCCATCCTCGGCCGTCCGTCGCAGGATAAGCACTCTGGAACCTGCTGCTGGATGACGTTCGGACCATAGCAAGACAGAACAGGTTTAGCATAAGCTGCCTACAATTTGTTGCTCAGACTAGCCCTCCCCTAGCTCTCCTCGACCACCCTGTCACCCCTGATACTCGCTTGACTCGTCTGTCAGACACTTCTTCTTTCGTAATTTTCTAAGTCCTGTCCTCTCTTTTCTAATTGCGGCTCATCCATTCGCCTTTATATCATTAGGCCTAGTTCCCGTTTATTGTGCCAATTAAAATAAACCAACCAACCAACCATATTGGACAGTAGGTGGTGGACGTGTGGGAGTACACTTCCCATGCACAGCAGTACGTGCAGTTAAATCCAGATATATCCAGTATTTGCAGTCCCAAAACGTGTCGTAGCTGGTTATATAATGGCTCGAAAGGTATCCTTCTCGTTATATGAACATTGTTTGCAATGAGAAATGTTAGCTCTGGCGGTCTCAGTCTTTGATTTCAGTGGAGGGCTAATTTGTGTCTATTGAACAGCGTGCAGGCCATTTCCTTGAACACAGGTAGATTCATGAATTGTAAATTAGGGACGTGATAGCATAAGGAAAAACTGACGTTGCCGGTGCTTAGAGATTTCAAACATGGCAGGAATCCAGCTTCGGAAAAGAGTGTCTCCTTTGCTGGTAAGGTGTGGTTCTTTCACTTTCATGCCAACTTGAGTTTTGCCGGAATTTAAATATCTCCAGTAGGTGTGCATTGACTTTGCCAAGTCAAAAACCTGTCTTTTCTACTTTTCCCCACAAGTTTTCTTTGTGAGAAGACAACTTTGGCGACCACTCCAAGTACAATGTACAACTGGGTAGAGTTCACAGGATTCTGTCTCGGTGGATACTGATTTTGTCACCCTACTTTTTATCTTGTACCATGTGTGCTGTGTGCATGCAGGTGCAATTATAAGTTCAACATCTGAGCCGGTTCTGCCCCCTACGACACTGACATGGCTTCTCACAGTCAGTTTGTCAGTGACTGTTGCTGGAACAAGTCGTTTTTCTGTTCTCTTTCCTCTGCTTCAAGTTATTACCGGTTTGACCTTTTTCATCACACTTGCATACTTCACGATTGTTTTGTTCCCCAGCTTTTCACTCAAATCTGACATTCACACACCCACATGTATGCGTGTGTCTGCCCGTCTGTTGAATGTGATTTGTTTTGGGCAGCCCATCTTCTGAGTCATTCCCTTGCTGGCGAAGAACGCGGTGATGATGACGAAAATGATGACAATATGGTAAGTTGGAATGAGCTTGCAAGCTGTTGCCTCTGTATGATGAAAATAATAGAAGTAATTATGCAACCGATGATGATAACTTTTGCGCTCCTGCCACTTTGTATTGTCGCTGAGGCTGTACCATGGTGAGCTAGTGCACTGAGGTTGCTGGTGGGGTTTGGGGATGCTGTGTGGTGTTTGCAAGTACCTGGGAAGAGATCTTGCTGTGGTGTGTGTTGCGTTTCTTGTTCTTTGGAATGGCGGAATGTCTCCACAATCCAGTTGGAAGGACCAGGTACTGAGGGTTTGGAGGCACTCATAATGTGTACTGGTACCATTATGGGTGACCTTCCAGCTGCCCTTTAAAAGAATAATGCAGGGTTCAGCTGGTCCCGGGTAGTAAGTCATTCCACAAAAAAGATTAAAGAAAGAGAAAAAAGAATGACCCTGTGCGGGCGGGAAGTCATTCTGCATTAAAAAAGAAGGAAAAAAAGAAGAAGAAAAGAAAGAAAAGAAGAATGACTCACCGGTGCTTGACGACAAAAAAAAGAATGTGGTGGGCTCCGTGCCTGCAGCATGCATGTCGTGTTTCACTGAGGCTCAGTCCCAGTGCCCGCTTTCTTTTTCATTTGGTCCCATGCACGCACGGTTGGGCCGAGTACATATGATACGCACATCATTGCTGTGCGTATCACTCATGATTTCATACTTTTCTATGGCCAGTTCCATGGCTGGAAACCTGGATCTGTTTGAGACTATCTGAGATGTCCAAACTCCGGAGGTCCGTGGTGTTGTATTTTTCAACACTGCGGGGTTCGACGCTATTTCCGAACACATATTATTTCCTTTTTCTTTTGTTGTTGGCCTAGGATGATACACTGCACTGGTTGGTGTCTATTGGACATCTGTGCATGCTGAGGCCATTTCCACTGTCTTGAAGTGTGCGTGCGTGCGTGCCCGCGTTTTTGGCAGTGTGTGTTTAGTGGTTCTTTTTTCTTTGTGTTTGCACTTTTGCTTGTTTATGGAAGGATATCGGAGAGCCGGAGGAAGCTGCACCAGTTACAGCTGGTTGGAGTCAAGTGGATCCGCGAGAAAAAAGAAGGACAGTATTGAAGTCCAGCTTGATGTAAGTAACTGAGTTTAGAAGACCACAGCTATTTTCCACTGAGTTGTGTTGGCCTACAATCTTAGAATAGGACACTGTCAGGCACCGTTGATGATACCGCCTCTTTCACGGGCAAACAGACACAATTTGCCATGCTGGAGAAATAGAACACAATTCAAATACTGGCGAAACAATTGCATGAAAAGAAGAATGTGTTTAAATTATCGTCATGAACGGTGAAATACGTAAGTATTTCACTGTTGATGACGATAGTTATTACATGTATAAGTATAATGTTATCGTATTGTTAACCCGAGGGCCGTTGGCCCGAGGGCTAACCTCCAGGGGCAATAATTATGCCATTAGGCACCATGCGATAACACATTTATCACATGGCCCACAGAGCAGACCATTGGGCTGCTGTTGAAACTAGCCCAAATGCCAACACATACTCTTGATAGTGTAGTGAGCAAAATAAACGCTCCATACTTATCGAAGATATACGCAGTAAGTATAATAATATTATGGCATGGTTGGGAGGGCAACCATGCCATTATAATTATTCAGTGCCCGACAAGTGAGCCCGTGGCCGTAGGCACAAGGGCTCACTTGGAGGGCACTGAAAATCCATAATTACCCGACCAACCATGCCATATTGGATTTATCACTTTCAGGCGAACGACCACGCGCGTTCAGATGTACACTGCACTGCATCATGTGCATGGGATAATTAACATCTTTGTATTCACTGCTTTAATGGTGTGGTCTGTCAGCTCCAGTCGAATGTAATCCTAGCTATGTTGTGCGTTGGCAGTCAGCTTGTCTACATCAGAACATACACAATGGTACGCAGTCACCATGTTCACATCCCGGAG